CCTCCCGCGTCCCGATTCCCGCGTGGCAGCGCGCCGGCCCCGGGTGCGAGGTGCCCGCCCTCCTCCGCGTCTGGCCGATCTTGGAGCGATGGGCGCGCAGCGCGGGCCGGGGAAGAGGCTTTCAGCTGTGGGTGTGGGGGGCACAACTGCAGTCATGCCCTCCCCGAGAGCTCCCTTTAGGAGCGTGGCCTCTGTGCACCCGAAAGCTCCAGTTTGTTGGTGTCTTGATAGGGGGAAGCCTCTTTGGAAGAGATGATCTGGTGGAGGAAAAGTCCCCAAGACCCGAGATTGCAGCTCCCGTTGTGAGTTGGAGCCTAAGCCAAAGTTTCCACCTTGTCCTCACAGCTCTGGCAGTGAAGTCTCCTAGATGTCCCATTCCACTAGCCTTATTTTAAAGGAAGCATGGTTTTCTAAACACTTCTTCCCCAAACCTTGGATTCAAGACTGTCCACCGTCTAGCTCACTTCCTGGCTTCAGGTCTTTTCCATCTTTGAGGTAGGGTATCAGCGGCCTCTAGCTTTGGAGATGCAAGCTCCACTAAGGTGCAAGCTGTCGGCCTCCCTGGATGTGGTTTCCTAGTGGTGTCAAGTCTACTGGTATTGCTGTGTGTGCTGGGAGCTGTTTAGCTCTCCTCAGCCTGTGTCGGTGGAATGTGAGCTCCCGAGCTCTCAGTTATTGGTATGCTATTGTGGGGGAACAGTTGAAGCACCTCTTCTCAACAGCTGCATCTCAGTTCTGTGGCTGTCAGTTCTTAGGATTCGATCTCTCCTCACTGTCTTCACCTTCTCCCCTCATCACATGGGTTGTTATCTCCCTGTGCTTCCATTCTCATTTCCCCACCTGTGTGTATGTGTGCTCTCCCCTAATTGAAATACACTGGGGAAAGCCTTGGACCAGAGCTAGATACCTACCCAGTAGGAATGCAAACATCCCTCGCTTAGGTCTCCCGCTGTGCAAGGGGTGGCCTTTCTCCCTGCAATGGGTTGTCTTTGTTGGGTAGTGTTGTCACCTGCAAGGTGAAGTTCCTGCCTTCTTTGGTATCAGCTTCCCCCTCTCCTGCATTTGAAACAGCTACACCGCCTGTGTACTTTGAGGCTAGGACACTCTTGCCTGGCTAGTATGGTTTACTCTTGTGATTTTTCTGTGGGTCTACAGTTAAGGTTCTTGTGCTGTGTCTGGGACTTGGGGGAGAGAACACTGTGGTCACTTTGCCTGGAACTAAAGATTAGGGTTGACATTTCAAGGTGTGGTTCCTCATTCCCCACCTTTGGTGTCGGGCCTCTCCAGGGGCTACAGTTACCTCTGGTCAGGACATAACTTTATCCACCTAATGGAATCCCCATGTGGCGGTGCCAGGGTCCCTGAAGGACCAATGCTGCTTGCCATCCCTCCTGGCTTTAGTGTGAACCCTCTTAGCTGCAAGATGCCTTGTGCTATGCTCCAAGGTGCTTGTGTGCCCACTCAACAGCACCAGCCTTCAGGAATTAAGGTTATGTCCCTCTCATCAGGTCTATGTATGCCAATCTTGAAACCTGTGGGGGAAAGTTCTGGAAGTTGTTTTGTTGACTCCTGTTGAGTCTTGATTTCAGGATGTGCCATAGTCTTGGAAAGAGACTCATGATTGAGCCTCCTTCTGGGCCAAGAGGTTCAGCTTCCTCCATGCTGCTCGCAACCCCTCACCATCTGTGTATATGTATATGCTTTGTGTGAAGGAGCTTGCCTACTTCAAAAGGGCCCTGTGGTGATGCCTCCTAGAGAAGGGTCTTGGAAAATGTCATGGGTAGTCTTCTATGGTGGCATCTATAGTTTTAGGCTCCAGGACTAATTTCCTTTCTGGCTTCTGAGGTGTGGGTACCCTCTTGGTGGGGAGTGTTTTTTGTGAAGAGAAGCTGTTGCTTCCACATTAGCAGAGACTCCAGCCTCTATAGTAGAAATTCCTGGGTATGTGGTCTACTCTGGAGCAGCAGCTTCTTGCCAGGCAGAAACTCTTCTCTAATCACAGCTGTGCCCATCTTGATGACTGAAGCATTACACCTGTTCTTTTTCTTTAACTATTTGTTTAAATTTACTTTCATTCTGTGTGTATTTTGCCTCCCCTCATGTAAGGGCACTGTGTATATACTGTCCCTGAGAAGCCTATTGTTTCCCCTAGAACTGGAGTTGCAGACCCTTGTGAGCTGTCATGTGGGTGCTGGGAACTGAACCTGGACTATCTAAAAGAACAAGTGCTTTTAACCCAAGACATCGGCAGCTCTTAAACTTTTTTTATTATATATATTTTTAAAGTTGTGGTTTTGGTATGTGCATGCATGTTATGACAAATGTGGGGGGTCAGAGAAAAACTTTGAGAAGCTGGTTCTTTGCTTTCACTATTTGGGACTTAGGAATTGAATCCAGATTACCAGTCTTCATAGCAAGAACCTTTATACCTTTATATACTGAGTCATTTTACTGGCCCTTAATTATTTTTTAAATTTTTGGGGTTTGTTTGTTTGTTTGTTTGTTTGTTTGTTTTTTGAGACTGTGTCTCCATGTAGTCTGAGATGGCCTGAAATTCACTATGTAGACCAGGCTGGCCATGAGATCTATCTGCCTGCGTCTCCCAAGGACTGGGATTAAAAGTCTAACCCTGGCCCGACATTTTATTTGTTTGTTTGCTTGTGTGTTTATTTATTTGGTGTGTGTATGCATTTTAGCACATGTATACGTGTAAAGATGGAAGAGGCTTTTTGAGAGTTGATTTTCTCTTTCTACCATGTGAATCCTGGAGATTGAATTTAGATTGTCAGGCTTGGTTTATGCTGATCCTACTCACTGGCCCTTGTTGCCCCTGTTTTTTAACACCTTGTTTCTAGCCCCTTTAGTATTTCTGTCATTTTATGCTGCCACAGTACTGTATTCTTACTGCAGGGCCATATTACCTCCTCTCCTGTGCTTCAGTCCCAACCACTTCACTGTGCGATTGGGGGAGGGCTTCACCTCTTTAAGGTTGCAGTATCTGCCCAGAACCCCTCTGAGGCTCTTGCTTCACATTCCTTCCTTCCTTGGTGTAAAAAGAGGCTTTCTGTGCTGGTGGATATTAGAGCCAAGACTCATTCCTGGTCAAGGTCCTGAACACCTCTTGCTGATTCCATGCAAGGTCCCTGGACCAGAGGTACCTATACTTTGGTCTCCTAAGTGGGGTTCGTTGCTGAGTCCTTTTGCTAGTTGCTTCCTCTTCCTGAAGATTCCTGATGTATGGTATGTCAGCCAATCCTCAGATAAGAGTGCTGTTTTTGTTTGTTTTGTTTTTGATAGGTCCTGTGCTGAAGAGATTTTAAGTTCCCTGGTGCCACCCATACTTACCTCTCCACAAAGTGGGATTCCACATAGTTAATTTTTAAAATTCTTTCAGAAAAGGTCCCAACCCCATCCTCTCCAGGCCTCTTTTTCTAAAACCTGTTCCGTAATGCAATGTCCCTTGCAGTAGTTGCTAGCCATCTGTGATTAGTACAAGTGAATGAGCCAGGAATGGCAGTGCACTCCTACCTCAGCATTAGGGAGGTCAAGGCAAGAATGTGGGTTCAAAGCCAGCCTGAAGTGTATACTAAGACCTTTTCTTGGAAAGGGAAAGACACTTTTTTTCCATCGCACTGGCTGTAGTACATTAAACTGACTCTGAAACATTTCTGACCTTGCATGCTTTGTTTAAAATATTTCTCTGGGTATTCTTTTCCTTGGTAGTAAGATCCCTCATTATGGCTGCCCACCAGGTTGAAATTCTTGGTCGTGGGAATAGGACAGTTTCTGCCTTTATGGTTAAGAGCTGCTTTGGGGCACCCCTGTTCTGTTTAGTCTAGTTCTCAGAGACTTACTTGTTAGTATATTCTGGGTGGGGTGGGGCAGGGTGGGGCGGGGTGAGCTTCTGCTAGCAGTTCAGAAATCCTCTTCACATGACCCTCCCTCTCCATGTTCCCTTGTTTCAGAGTCAAGTTTTGTAGTGTGGATTTCTCTACATATAGACCTCCTCTCTTCAATCCTTTGTCCTCTGGCCCCTCTAAGCTCACCTTTCTTCAGAATAAAAAGAGATGTCCCTCTGTGCGTTTTGGTTTTCTGCCCTGATGGGTTCATGTTTCTGAGTCTAAATTGCCAGTCTATCTGATACGGAATTCTTCCATGTGTGCGGATCTGCTCTCTCACAGCTAAGGTACTTCTTTACTATCTTATCTTTGTAAGCTATCTCCTCCAGCCCTCTTTGAGGTGCTACTTCCTGCTCCCAAGTTTCTATAATCATTTTTAATGTCAGACACTCTGGTCAGGGACATTATCTTTTGGGGCTCCAGGATTCTGCTGTGAAATAAATTTCTTGAAAGTGTAAGATCCTCTTGTTTGGTACCCTGCTGTGTCCTGTGTGAGCAGGTTCAGGTCTTCATAGGTGGAGAAATCCCCTGTCACTCTTCCCCTTTAGTTCACACCTGCATACACAGTATCTCATTCTTTCCAGGAGTTGCCAGGGAAGTATTTCCCGACTTGCCTGGAGTGGCCTCTCCCTGTCACCTCTGGTCCCAACCCATTTAGAGTCTTCAGTTGGGGTTCATACCTCCATCTGAGCAATCCACCTGTATGCTGCATGTGCTGTACTATCATCTAGAGAACAGATACTCTGTACTTCAGAAAGTTTTTGCTCCCTAAGTCCACAAATAAGATACAGCATTCTTTGTTTCAACAGTTTCCCAGAATCCATTCTGCCTGTCTCTTTACTGGGCAATTGAAGGAATGTAGGAACAGGCCAGATCTTCCTTATCAGATAGGAAATATAGCTGGGGATGTAGTTAGATGAAAGAATGTGCAAGGCCCTGAGTTCTGTTATCAGGTAGGGAAGAGGGCAAGTAACTGTTTCTTTCCTCTACCATCCTACCTACTCCATGATTCCCACCATGCCTCTGGGTTTAAACTAGCCACAGAATAGATGTTAAATCCTACCCAATTTTCCCCAGCAGCGTCCGTTTCCAAGGGAGTATGAAGAGAGTTCGTCTGTAGGGCAGGGAAGATGGCGGACAAGCGCAAACTCCAAGGTAATAGACTGCCTGCTGTAAATGTGACCACACGCCCTCTTTTCTGGAAACTTGTCTTTGGATATTTGCTGCCTTGTCAGGATCCTAAGTCTTCTTCTCTGGCCAGGTGAGATTGATCGCTGCCTCAAGAAGGTGTCCGAAGGCGTGGAGCAGTTTGAAGATATTTGGCAAAAGGTACACATCCTAGAAACCTTAAAATCTGGGTCTGTGGGGAGAACCATCAAGAGGTTCAAAGTCTCAGGGTGTTGACTAGGGAAGCATCTCTAAGATCAGCTATGGGGAGGGGATTCTAGATTTCTCAGCCAAGGAAGAGACTGGACCTTTACTGCTATGGCGAGTTCTGGGCAGCCACTCTCACATTGACTGCTGAATTCTTCATCCCTCAGCTCCACAATGCAGCCAACGCGAACCAGAAAGAAAAGTATGAGGCTGACCTAAAGAAGGAGATTAAGAAGCTACAAGTGAGGGGACTGGGGCTGGACTCTTTTTGTCCTGTGGGAGGAGGGATGGGGAGAGTGGACTGCTGGGTCCCAGGGAGAAGAGGTCACTGAGGGCCCCAGCTCCTGCGCCTGCAGCCTAATTTTTTTGCTGCTTCTCTCTTCAGCGGCTGAGGGACCAGATCAAGACATGGGTAGCATCCAACGAGATCAAGGACAAAAGGCAGCTTATCGAAAACCGCAAGCTCATTGAAACGGTAGGAAATCAAAGCCAGGGGCTCTGTGGGGTGGTGGTATGACCAGGTTCCTGGGACCCTAAAAGGCAGAGGTGGAGCAGCCACTCCAGACTCCTGGGAAGATTAATGTCTCCACAACCAAGGAAAGGGCAGAGATGAGGGCTCAGTCTAAGAGATAAGGTCCCCAGGCTGTTTCTAGCATTGCTGGCCCTTAGAGCTTCTATCTCACCTTTGAGAGCTCTCCACCAACTGTACTCTCCACAGCAAATGGAACGGTTCAAAGTTGTGGAACGAGAGACCAAAACCAAAGCTTATAGCAAGGAGGGCCTAGGTCTGGCTCAGAAGGTGGACCCTGCTCAGAAGGAGAAGGAAGAGGTTGGCCAGTGGCTCACGGTGAGTTGGGACAAAGAAAGAAATGAGCACATGGGCCCAGACTTAAATATATGTCAGGGACTTGAGGACGAACCCCTCTTCCCTTCTCTCCCCCCAGAACACCATTGACACCCTAAATATGCAGGTGGACCAGTTTGAGAGTGAGGTGGAGTCACTGTCGGTACAGACACGCAAGAAGAAGGGCGACAAGGATGTGAGTGAGGGGAGAAGCACACCCACGGGGTAGGGGTGGATGTGGCCTGTGAACAGGAAGCCTCTGGAGGCTTGTGGGAATCTAGTTCTGGGTGCCTAAAATACATCTGGGGTAGAGATTGGAGAAAGCAGGATGAGGCAGCCTAGCCAGCTGAGTGGTATAGGGAGGGGGTAAGATAGAATCATGGGATATTTGTTAGGGGTGGTTTGGGTTGAAGATAGACTTAGGTTCATCAGGGACCAGAGAGTAAGTGAGATGTGGAGGGACAACCAGATTGGGACGGTACACAGCACCCCAAAGATCCCAGTTTCTCCTTGGAGGTGGGGTGTCTCTGGGAAACCACTGGCAATGGTTTGGACCAAAGACATATGTTAGGGTCCTGGATCCTATAGCTGTAGGATTGTAGAGTGTGAATTCAAAGGGCTGTATACTTAATGGTATCACCAGAGAAGGAAGTTGGGATGGGAAGTGAGAGATATGTCATGATTGGTGAGAGATTTGAGAATCAGAGAGGGAAAGAGTAGGGGTCCTCCTTTGAGAAAAGGAGGAATTTGGAACTGGCACTAAGGTGTCACGTGGAAAAGGGAATTGGAACCTTAGGAGGAGCAGGAGCTCCTCTTATTGTTTATCCTTATTACTATCATTACTATTGCAGTGAGATGGGATGTATATTCCAGGCAGAGATCAGAACAGTGGGAGGCCTGGGTGACACTTGCTGACAGGTGAGCCAGATAGGCCAAGTGTAGGGCTAGCACAGACAGCAGATTTCTAGGGATCTCCAGAGCCCAATGGGGTTTGAGAAGGGAAAAGTGGGACCCTGAGATGCCATAAACCTCAGATTGGTCCTCACTGGGACGGAGGGTGGGCAGACTCCTCACTGCCCCATGCTAGGAGGGGCTGGAGTGGAGTTTTTGGGGTACCCTGGGGATGGGGGACTGAGGACAGGTTCTGTGGGGGCAGGAGGGCCAGGCAGGTGCTCTGCAGCCCCTGAGCCTGGCCCTGGGCTCGCCAGCAGAAGCAGGACCGGATTGAGGGCTTGAAGCGGCACATCGAAAAGCACCGCTACCATGTACGTATGCTGGAGACCATTCTGCGCATGCTGGACAATGACTCCATCCTGGTTGACGCCATCCGAAAGATCAAGGATGACGTGGAGTACTACGTCGACTCATCCCAGGACCCTGACTTTGAAGAGAACGAATTCCTCTATGACGACCTGGACCTCGAGGACATTCGTGAGGCCCTGGGCTGACCTTCATGGCACAGAGGGTGAGGGCAGGAGGCGTGGTTGAGCTAGCTAAGCATGCTGCTCCCCTGCCCCCACAGCACAGGCGCTGGTCGCCACCTCCCCACCCAGCCACAGCCACATGGAGGATGAGATCTTCAACCAGTCCAGCAGCACGCCCACCTCAACAACTTCCAGCTCTCCCATCCCACCCAGCCCAGCTAACTGCACTACGGTGAGAGTCTGGGGTTATTAATAACCTGGGTTCCCAAAAGGGTGGCCATGGGGATATGAGAAGCCCAATCTTCCCCTAGAGAGCAGCTAAGAAAGGAAAGTCTAGGCTTTTTGGCCTCTGAGGCCCTTGCTGGTGTGGAATGGATATAAAAAAGCTGAAAGATAGACCCTAGGTTCCCACTCAGGTTTACCATGCATGTTGGTTTTAGGTGGTGGTGGGGTGCTTGAGGACCTGAGCAGCTGGGTGTTTCTTCTCTGACAGGGATCCAGGGTTGAAGTCTATAAAGAAAGCAAGTTGCTGGGTACTTGATAGCGTGGGAGTGGGTGCTGACTCTCAGAAGACAGTACTAACGAGCTCAGATTTAGGTGTTTCCCAGAATTTCAGGTTGGATGTTGGAACAGCTGTGGGTCACAAGGCCCATCAAATGGGCCTTTGAGAGATTAAGAGCACTAAGGGCCCTCCTGGGTCCCTAAAGGATTGCCCTTTGTTTTGGGACCCTGGAGGTCACATAGTTTCTGACACTACTTCCCCTACATCAGGAAAACTCTGAAGATGATAAGAAGAGAGGCCGCTCAACAGATAGTGAAGTCAGTCAGGTGAGTCCAAGTCTGACTGATGTCTTGTCACTTGTTTATTCAGTGGTCCTTTAAAGTACTGAAGCTGGAGTGCTGGCCACAATGCTGGGCTCTTGGGACAGTAGCATGCAAGAAACAGTGTCACCCTGAAGACAGGCTGATGACTGGTGCTGTGGTTGAGGTGGCCTATGTTCTGGCCCGCAGAGGAAGACTGGATGGTACTGTGGGCAGCAGCAGGTCACAGTGGGGGCTGTGGCAGGCAGCTTGGAAATATGAGAGGTGGACCTTTTAGGATGCTGGCTGCAGGAAGTAGTCCCTGCGAGAGGACTTCTCCTTAGGAAACATGAATGTTGTTGGAGCAGAAGGATCCCAAAGCCCCTCTGGAGTGATAAAAGCGATAGTCCCAGGTGGGGGGACCTCAGTGGGCAGCAGGGTTGGGGGGAACAGCAAGGGTAATAGAGTGAGGGAGACTGGGGCAGGGACTCCTGGGAGTGGGCCCAGCTCTGCCACCTTGGGCTCCCTGACTGTCAGCAGTGATCCCAGGAAAATAGTGAACGGCCAGTTACCTTTGGTACGTGGTAAGTGAGGTTCTTATGGCAGTTCAGAAGTCCAGAGGAGGTTCAGCATGGCAGCCTGGTTGTTGGAACTTCCTGAGATAGGGATTTCCTGGTCATTACACTCTGGAGCAGTGTATTTTATAGTTCTGTGACTATAATGGACCTTTAGCTGACATTCAGAAGTATTTTAGCTATCCCAGTTCCCTGACTCTTAAACATTTAGGCTGATCCAACTAATCCCAAATTGAGATTTTTGTTGTTGTTTGTTTGTTTGTTTTTTGAGGGGGTTGTTTAGTTTTTGTTTTGTGAAAGCATCTCACTGTGTGGCCTTGGCTGGCCTAATAGACCAGGCTAATCTCAAACTCATCTGCCTGTCTCTGCCTCAAAGGCATGCACCACTACTCTACATCTCAACTTGAGGGTATTTAAGAGTTTTCACTGGTCTCTTTTTGGTTTTTTAGATATACAGAATATCTCTGTATAGCTTTGAAGCCTGGCCTTGAACTCACAGAGATCCACTTGTCTCTGCCTCCCAGGTGCTAGGATTAAAGGCATGTGCCATCACCGCCTAGCATGGTCTCTGTTTTAACAAACTAACTTGTTGGATCATGTGGGCTACAGGGGGCAATGTCCAGCAAGGTCTTGGGACAGCTGAGTGGGCTAGAAATAAATAGGTCTTAAACATGAAGGCAATCGACTTCTCTTAGGTGCCTTGGATGGTGTGGACAGTTGATAGCAGGTCAGAGAATATGTGGGGAGGCAGTAAGAGGCTCATGGGTAGTGGACGTGGACAAGTTGGTCTAGTACCTGACTCTCTATTCTTTCTTTCTTGCAGTCTCCAGCCAAAAATGGCTCCAAGCCTGTCCACAGCAACCAGCACCCCCAGTCCCCAGCTGTGCCGCCCACCTATCCCTCTGGCCCCCCACCTGCCACTTCTGCCTTGAGCTCCACCCCTGGCAACAATGGGGCCTCTACCCCAGCAGCACCTCCAAGTGCCCTGGGCCCCAAGGCCAGTCCAGCTCCCAGCCACAACTCGGGTACTCCTGCCCCCTATGCCCAGGCTGTGGCCCCACCCAATGCCAGCGGGCCCAGCACTGCCCAGCCCCGGCCCCCCAGTGCCCAGCCGAGCGGGGGAAGTGGTGGTGGCAGCGGAGGGAGCAGCAGCAATAGTAACAGTGGCACAGGCGGAGGGGCTGGCAAGCAGAACGGTGCCACCAGTAAGTGGAGGCCAGTTTGGGGAACAGGGCAAGGTGGTCAGTGGCTGACAGCCTGTTTACACTTGCCCTTCTTTTCCCCAGGCTACAGTTCAGTTGTTGCAGACAGCCCTGCAGAAGTGGCCCTGAGCAGCAGTGGGGGCAGCAGTGCCAGCAGCCAAGCCCTGGGGCCCACGTCAGGCCCTCACAACCCAGCTCCAAGCACCTCGTGAGTTCTGGGGTGGCAAGGTGTGGGCACTGGCTCTCATGCCATCCTTGCTGCAAGGCTCCAAGTTCTGTCCTTTTTTGGTGTTGCCCAGTGCACTCTGCCTTCACCTCAGCAAGAGTTTCTGTCCCTGCTTACCACCTGGGATGTGTATGCATTAGTTCCCAGCTTTGTCCTCTCTTTTACTGATTTTTTTACTCTGGGTTTGAGACTGCTATCTCCGCATTTCTGTTTTTTGCTCTGAAGCAACCTGTCTGACATTGGTGTGGGGGCTTATTTTCCCTTTTCCAAGTAAAATGTCATGTTGGAGAAATGGAGGACTAGGACATCAGATTACTTCAGCTGTTTCCAAACAATGCTGAAAGATCTGCCACCTTGCCCCCGACATTAGCAGTCTTAGTGGGAGTACACCTTGTGTGCCTGTGCAAGGCTACTTTATTCATTCATGATAGTACATGAATTACTATCAATTTATAAATAGATTTATTCTGATTCTTGCCCCAGTTTTCCCCCTTCTTTTAAGCTGTTAAGGGATCCTAAAACTTGCATTCCCAACTCAATTTCTGCTGTATGGAAGAGGACCCTAGAGATTGATTCTGCTCCTGCCCACCCCTGCTGTCTTGCCTTCAGCTGCCCCCTTTGGAGCCCATTTTCTGTACTCAATTCTCTAGGGATCTTAATCTGTGTCTCCTCCATTCTTTACCCAGAAAGGAATCCAGTACGGCAGCCCCAACAGGGGCTGGGAATGTGGCTTCAGGCTCAGGGAACAACTCAGGGGGACCCAGCCTCTTGGTGCCACTGCCTGTGAATCCCCCCAGTTCTCCAACGCCCAGCTTTAGTGAGGCCAAAGCAGCTGGCACCCTGCTCAATGGTCCTCCACAGTTCAGCAGTACCCCAGAAATCAAGGTGAGCTCCTCAGATGTGGGCCCTGAGCCTATGCTGGAGCAGGAAATCCAGTGTGTCTACTTTTCTAGTGGGGATAAAAGCATCTTATAAGTTCTACTGAGTGGGCGATAGGGCTTTACCATGGTTTTGAGGGGAGAAGAAATAAGTGACACACTGTGGAGAGGCTCCTGAGAGGCTGTGGGTGGGATGAGGGAAGAATAGGATAAAGGACTAGGCCTTATTGGCTGTGACTAGTACAGAATGAGTCCCCTCCAAGAGAGCTGGGGTGCAGGTCTGTGGGTGGGCTTTGGTGATGGAAGGGTTGCACAGAGTGGGTAGAAGAGCCAGCCCTAAGCTGTTTCATCGGGGAAAGCAAGCAGTGTGGGGGCTGCAGACCCGACCCACTGATGTTCCCAAGGAGATTGAATACCCAGGGGATGGCCAGCACCCTTAAGGCAACAGCAGAGCCTGCAGTCCTGCCAGCCACCTTCCTCAAGATGCCATATTACTGTGGGCAGTCCAGTGGGTGTTCCTTCAGCATGTAATGTCTTTATAGCAATGTGTGCTATGGCCTGTTCACTGTGTTTTGTAGGGTACTGTTTCCTCTGGAATGTACCATGGACCCTGAGCAGAATTACACAGTAGAGAATCAGTGGTCCATGTTCTCATGGTGACCTCAGATGTGCCATGGTGTTTTAGCATAATATAGGTAGATCTTGCAAATAGAGAACTGGCAACAGAAGAGTAAGTAGGCAGAGTGTACAGGTCCCATCAGGCTTTGCATTTTTATGTAACCCAGTCTCTGCTCCAGGTCCTGAGGCTCATCCCCTTTTTCTTCCCAGGCCCCTGAACCTCTGAGCTCTCTGAAATCTATGGCAGAACGGGCAGCTATCAGCTCTGGTATTGAGGACCCTGTGCCAACCTTACACCTAACAGAGCGAGGTGATAATCATGGGATGGTGGGGAGGGCAAAAGCCAAGAAGAAGAAACTGAATCCATCCTCATCATTGAGGGTCCTGGTGCCCCATCCCTCCCTACAGACATCATCCTGAGCAGCACATCAGCACCCCCCACCTCAGCCCAGCCACCCCTGCAGCTGTCAGAGGTGAACATACCATTGTCACTGGGTGTGTGTCCACTGGGGCCAGTGTCCCTCACCAAGGAGCAGCTCTACCAGCAGGCCATGGAAGAGGCCGCCTGGCACCATATGCCCCACCCCTCTGACTCCGAGCGCATTCGGTGAGGGGCTGCAGAAAGGGGCTGGGGACCGGGACTCCCAGTCTGAGGGAGGAGCTGGTTCCTGGGTCCTGAGAGACTAGGTAGAGTACTCATCTCAAAGTGCTGAGGACTTGGCTTGGGGCTTCTTAGAGCAGAGAACACCCTCCTGAAGGCAGGCCAGGAACTGGAAGTCACCTGGTACTAAATCCTCTCTGGTTCACAGGCAATACCTCCCCCGGAACCCTTGCCCGACGCCCCCCTACCACCACCAGATGCCACCCCCACACTCGGACACCGTGGAGTTCTACCAGCGCCTGTCAACCGAGACACTCTTCTTCATCTTCTACTATCTGGAGGTACAGCAGGGCCCCCGGGGCAGCCTCGGGCCCCTCAGCTCCGCCGCCACCGCTGCCATCCCCCCTCGGGCTGGAGGGGCGAGGTGGGTGTCCCACTGCGGCCACTGGGACCGCACCCCTCCCCATCCCAGGCCCCCTCAAACAAACCTGTCCAGTCCCAAGGCATTCTAATTGCCCAGACTAAGGGAAAGGCTGCAGGCCCTAGGCTGTGTACACACTCAACTACCAAGAGTTCTCAGCTCCTGGTAAACCCTTTAGTTGAGGATAGCCTCTGAACTGCAATAGGCACTGCACTCTCAGGCCTCCCTAGAGACTTCTAGGGAACTGTCTGACCTCTTAATTGCAGTGAGTCAGCCCCTTTCCATCTCCCTTTTGAGTTTTCTACATAGTTTTCTCTCAGCTTTCATTATGCATTAGTTTCTCTTCTTTCTCAAAGCAATTCTCACCTCCTGTCTCATTTTCTTCTGACCATGGTATGTTTGTGCTTCCAGCACTGTCTGCAAATGGACTCTCTGCCCCAGCTGGTCTGTGGTGGGGGTCTGGGTCTAGCCCTGATGCCCTGCCCTATCCCCCATTCCCTACCCAATTTGGAAACCCCCTGATCTTTCTCTGCATTTTCTCTCCCAGGGAACCAAGGCACAGTACTTGGCAGCCAAGGCCCTAAAGAAGCAGTCCTGGCGATTCCACACCAAGTACATGATGTGGTTCCAGAGGCATGAGGAGCCCAAGACCATCACAGATGAGTTTGAGCAGGTGAGGGCCCCACCTGCCCTGGTCTCACTGGGGTATGGTTAGTGTCCCCAAGCCCAAACTTGCTGCTGGCCTTTGACATTCAAGCACGGTCCTATAGACTGACCAAACTGACCTCCCACACTCCTGGGATGCTGTCTCTCCATTTGTCCACTTCTTAGTGCCATTGTTACTTCTTCCAAAGAGAAACTTTCCTTGAGCTGCTGTCTCTACCATGCAGCCCTAGGACTTTCTTTAGTTGAGTGTGTGGGATTTTATAGTTGATATCTCCTAAACCTGACCTCATTGACCCCTTATTTTCCTGGCAACCAGCAGAACAGGGACTGAGCATAATTGGAAGGAAGTCTGTTTAGGCAGCCTTCTCAAGTCTCAGTCATTAGTTGATTGGAAACTCCACTCCCTAAATACCCCAAAGCCAGCTGATTTGGGTTTGAGCCCAGCTTTCGCTGGATGATCTTGGGCAAGTCAATCGAACCTCTCTTCATTTGTTTCTCTCTGTAAAAATGGGAGTAACAGTACCCATCTCATGCAGTTGTTACAAGGATTAAATGAGTTAATAACATGTAAGTACTAATGGTGCCTGCTATACAGTGAGCGTCACGAATTTTTTTTAATTGCTTTCAGTTGGTGTGTTCCATGGTGGCTTTCCCCGTACACATTTCCCCACCTACACTTCCGGATGCCAAGCTGGCCTTCACTGGTCCCCATTCTTACAGAACTCTACTCCATTCCCTACATTCTTCCAGACCATTTTGAAGCATTTCAGACACTTGACCCAGCTTTTTTCTTTTTACTGTATCATCTCCAACCTCGATTTCAGACTTCTTGTCCTTCCCTGGTTTGGTCCTCAAATACATCTCAGGGCACTGAGTCACTAGAATCTCAGTTACAATGAAGTGTGTGTCACTGCAGAGCACTTGGATATGGATGCTGTACATTGTAGGCCACCCGTTGGTCCCCATTCCTCAGGGTCTGAACATAAGCGTGGACCTCATGGCTGTGTCCTCCAAAACTGTAGAGAAAGCCTGCAGGCCTACCTGGGGCTTGCCGTCTTTGTCCCCCCTTCACTAGTCTACAATCACCAGGCGTGGAGCGTAACAGTGCAAGCATGTAGAGCAATCAGACTGACACCTCCGTGTACCTGACAACTGCCTCTTTTGTCATCTGCCTGGCCCAGATCTCAGCTCCCCTCCTCGTCCACTCACTGACCACCTTCTTCCCCGGCCAGGGCACCTACATCTACTTTGACTACGAGAAGTGGGGCCAGCGGAAGAAGGAAGGCTTCACCTTTGAATACCGCTACCTGGAGGACCGGGACCTCCAGTGACACCGGCCCCCTCTACCTGACCCCTCCCCCCCGCATGCTGATCCCCCTGCCCAGGTGAGGGCCCTGCCCTGGAAGACTGGGGGAGGCCCAAGGCCATGGGGCACCCTCCCCCCAGGAGCAGGGAAAGGGCAGGGAGGTTTTCTCTTCCTCTCTGCCCTACCCTGGGGGCCTGGGAGTGAGAGTTGCCCCCTCCTCCCCTCCCCAGTGAGGGACATTTTTTGGTAAACCTATTTTCATTTTGGAAAATATTTATGAATAAATAGTTTTATATGACGGCTGGCAGCTGCAGCCTCTCCTATTCCCCAAGAGTTAGTGGGCAGGAGTGGGGTTCTGCTGGCGGGGGCGCCGGGCCAGCTGAGGGTTGAACTGGGAGTTATACCGCCGCCTCCTTTCATCTGTCTCTTCCACTTCCACCTGACCTTGTTGGGATGCTCGGCCTTGTACACGGGCCAGTAGGGCCTCTGTTCGAGCCCTCTCAGCTGCTTCTCGTTGAAGACGCTCAGCTCGGAGCTGTTGTAGGGAAGGTGGCCTGTAGAGAGGAGAGAGCATCAGAAAGCTTGAGAGAAGCCACCTGGTTCTGGGTCACATGAGCAAGTCCTTAGAGACACACTTCAAGGGCTGTGCCTCCCTATGGTTCTAAGATCAGATGCCCCTCCAGGTCAAGAAAGCACATTTAGTAGTATCCTGGGGTCCCTGCACCATTTTGAAATAAAAAGATTAGTCTTTGAGTACCCCTTCTACAGTTGATAGAATGTAGGCAGAAACTTGCTTTTATTTTCTAATCCTAGTGATTCTTAAACTTTGGTCAACATGGGAGGCAGGCAGATTTCTGAGTTTGAGGCCAGCCTGGTCTGTAGAGCTAGTTCCAGGATAGCCAGGACTACACAAAAACTATGTCTCAATCCAAAAGAAGAAAACTGAGGACCAAAGTCAAACAGGGCTCTTCCATGTATGCTGCCTTCTGCTGTGGCAATATAAGACAGTTGAGTGTGATGTGGGTATGCTTTAATCCCAGCACTTGGGAAGCAGAGACAAACTGAGTTCAAAGCCAGCCTGGTTTACATAGTCAGTTCTAGGATAGCCAGGGCTACATAGTTAGAACTTATCTCAGAAAAATAAAATAAAAAAAAAAACAAAAACAAAACCTAAGGGCCATAAAGATCTTTTAAGGTAGGTTTTTCGAGACAGGCTTTCTCCGTGCTGTGTAGCTCTGACTGTACTGGAATTCATTTTGTGGACCAGGCTGGCCCTGTCCACCTGCCTCTGTCCTCCTCCCCTTCTCTCCCGCCTCCGTCTCCCGTGCTGGGAGACAGTCATGGCAAGATACCCATGCACATTGGGGGGGGGGGAGCAACCTGAGAAATCCTGCATACAAGCATCCACACATACCCTTAACCATAAGAGGAGATACTATTCTTAATATCCTAAATGAAGTCTGTCTCCACAGAGGTCTATAGACCACATATTAAGAAGCACTTCATCCTGCCTTTCCTGTTGAGCTTTTTGTGATAAGCACACTGGTGTGCTAGGGTCCCCAGAGTCTCACTCTGCTCTACTGTGGGCTAAGTCTATTCTTACTCTCTGGGCCGTTGTTTCTGAGGCCTCTCCTCTCTAAGATGGCTTTCACTGCTGTGCCTTTTCTTTCCCAGGTGCTTCTGCATCTCCCTCAGTGGGTCCAACCGGTTCTTGATCTTCTCATCTGGGCTTGGGCCTGGAGGGCAGCCCCCTTTCCCTGGGGGGAGCTGGTACCAAGGAGGTTGAGTTTGGGCCTCTGCTGCACTCTGGCCCAAGTACGTCAGGATGCCTAGAGCTTTCTCCTGCCTCTCCTGTGGGGGCAAGAAAACAAAATAGTCTTTTCAGTCCCTCTGAGAGCCCTAGATGTGGCAGTAGGGAAAGCCAGGGCCTGAGTTCAGAGAGACGGGCTGGTAGGTAGTCATTCAACAAGGGAAATCAGGGACAGGACTAGCTATGCAAAGTGCTAAGGGCTAATCTGGAGAAGGAAGAGTAAAAGGACAGTGGCAATGTATGTAGTAAGGGGACAGGGATGGAAAGGAGGATGGGAGAAGTCTATGGGAAAGCCTGCAGAAAAGCAAAGCAGATTGGTTTCAGTGGGATACAAGCACCTTCAAAGTTGGAATGGGAGATGCAGGAGAGCCACAGAACAAATTCACAGTTTGAGAAGCACGAGTGCCATCTGGCGGTGCACGCTTATGACCCCAGCACTCGGGAGGTCAAAGCAGGGGGATTGTGAGCTGGAGGGCACCCTAGTCTGTATAGTTGAGGTCTCATCTCAGTCTAGCTTAAGTCTCAGAGTAAGGTTAACATCAGAAACAGCTTAAGTGCGCTGCATCAGTAACCAAATTATGATGTGCTTTCAGTCACATTCAGAATGTCCTGTGTGCTCATCTGTCACCATATCCTAACAGTTAGTTACAGCTTGTCCCCCTCCTCACAGTCCCCCCCCAGGATTCCAACAGAGGAAGCCAGCTTACCTTCTCCTGTCGCTTCTCTTCCTCATGCTCTTTATTGCCTCTGGGCACTCCTTTCCTTTCTTCCAGCAGCTCCTTAAACAGGTCCACAGGGCCAGAACTTGGAACTCCTGCATCTGCTGCTTCCAGTTCAGGCAGTGAGTTCTGGCGCCTGGCTTTCTTCCGTAGAAATTCTGTTCGGGCCTGTGAAGAAAGTTATAGGCAAGACCTTCAGAACATAGAAGTGCTGGGGGCTACAAGATAGGGCCATGGGCCAGCTAATGGTGGTGTATGACTAAATGCCAGCATTCACGAGGCAGAGGCTGAGTGGGTTTTGTTTTGGTTTTTCAAGACAGGGTTTTTCTCTGTAGCCTTGGACCCTGTCCTGGAACTTGCTCTGTACACCAGGCTGGCCTGACTCTACTACCTCTGCCTCCCAAGTGCTGGGATTAAAACCTTTAACCTCCAAATTCAAGGTCAGCCTGGTCTACAGAGCGAGTTCCAGGACAGGCAAGGCTATACAAGTAAACTATCTGGAAGAACCTTTAGAGGGGGAGATGAGCATAGTATAGGTACTGGGAGCCAGAAAAGGCACCATTTCTAATATGGAGTGGAGAATGGGTGTTTTAAACAGTAAACTTGCTGGGCAGTGTGGCACACACCTTTAATCCCAGCACTTGGGGGGGCAGAGGCAAGCAGATCTCTGTGAGTTCAAGGCCAGCCTGGTCTACAATAGCTAGTTCCAGGACAGGCTCCAAAGAAACCTTGTCTCGAAAAACCAAAAACAAAAAAACAAAAAAACCAGTAAACCTGATTATCAGGAATTGTTGGTAGGTCCCCAGCCTAAAACAAAAGGCTTCCCAGCCTACGGTGATGCAAAACAAAAGAAAACAAAAAGGCGGCTATTAAAAAACCACTCAGCAGGGGCTGGAGAGATGGCTTAGTGGTTAAGAGTAGTGGCTGCCCCTCCAGAGGTTCTGTGTTCAATTCCCAGCAACCCCATGGTGGCTCACAACTATCTATAATGAGATCTGGTGCCCTCTTCTGGCCTGCAGACAGAGCACTGTACACATAATAAATTCTTTAAAAAAAAAAAATCCCTAACTACTCAGAGTATTTTTGTGTCCTTGGGCCACACTTTGCAGCAGGGTAGGGGCCCACAAAATAAAGTCCCATAAAGTTCACATGCCTTTGATCACAGCACTTGGGAGGCAGAAACAGGACAGGCTCCAAAGCTACACAGAGAAACCCTGTCTCCAAAAACCAAAACCAAACAAAAAACACTCAGCTATAAGGTAGAGATGGTTTTGTTCAGCCGTAAAGCCCCTGCTTAGTGTATATGCAGCACACACATGCACAAACCAAATACAGCTTATTGGGCAGCCATGCCATACTTTCTGGACAAAGAATTTGGCTCCCAGGTGTGGCTCCAGGTCACTATTCCAAACATTAGTGGTCACCCCCATCCCAGGTAGGTTCTGAATTGCTCAGGATAGTCTCCATAATTCTCCCCTCTACAGCCTCAGTATGTGGGATTACAAACCTCACCAAATCCAGCTACTTTGAAAAATTTAAAAACCCACACCAATTCATGATTGGCCAAGGGATTTAAGTGTAAACAAAAAAGACTGAGTAATCATTAAAATCTGGTCATGTGTGTGTAGTCTTCAATGCCAGCATTCTGGTGGACATAGCAGGCGGATCTCAGGTAGTGACCAGCCTGGTCTACATAGCCAGTTCTAGGACAGCCAGGGCAACCTAGACCCTGTTTCAAAGAAAGAAACCCTCTGGCCAGGCGGTGGTGGCGCACGCCTTTAATCCCAGCACTTGGGAGGCAGAGGCAGGTGGATCTCAGTGAGTTCAAGGCTAGCCTTGTCTACAAAACGAGTTCCAGGACAGACAGCCAGGTCTATTAGTCTGTTGTGCAGAAAAACCCGGTCTTGAAAAACAAGCAAAGCCTCTGGGTGTGTTTGTCTCGGGGAGCAATGATGGAAAACGCATCTAACGGAGCGGGCTCCAGCTTGTCCGCCCTTTGCCCTCCTCGTTGAAGCCGTTGCGCTCAGTGCCGACCGCACATCCCTTTAAGGACCCTTTAAGTTGTTCTAAGAGGGATTTCTCAAGTCTAGCGCTTTGTAGGTGGGGGACATATATACAGTGGATGCTTGGTAATTAACTTGTGCGGACGAACTATAAAGTAATCAGAATATCTGTCCCACTCTTATGTGTTAGTCTCTGGCCACTTCAACTACACCAGTGGGGGAATCTAGGAAGGTTTCGTGGAAGTTAGCAAAGGATTTGCAGAGAAACATCGCCAAACACTGACCCGCGTCTGACAGCGAGTGACCGGCAGGCCCTCCGTGCTTCCGGACCAGCCCCAGGCTTACCTCTTGCTGAGCGAGCAACACCCTCCGCTCACGCTCCTTCTCCTCCTCCCGGGCCTGGGCCTCGTCGCGCCGCACGCGGGCGACATTGTCCTTGTTCCGGACGTGCCAGCTCTTCTTGGGCAAAATATTCATGGCTCCGTAGCCGACCTCCGACCAGCAGGCCCACTCTCCGATACTTCCGATTGGCGCGAGGAAGCTCCCGCCCTTGGTCCCACCCTTGCCTGTACATTGGTTCTGGGCCAATTATCACGCCCACTCATGGCCTATATTAGAGGTGATTGGCTAAGAGGTACTCCATCACAGCCAATCCTAAAAGCTTGCAACCTGAGCTGCCCCACCCCGGACGCTGCTGTATGAGGTTGGTGATGCCCCGCCTGTCTATCCCGTCACGCAGACACAACCCAGGCCACTGACCAGGCCCCTCCCCAAACTCTGTCCAAGGCTTCAGGACCAGGTTTCAAAATGGACAGCGATCTCGGCTGTTGTTTATTAATACGGTTCAACTGAGTGTGGCACTTGGTGGCGGAGGCCGTAGGACTCGATTCTAGAGATGAGAGGGTACTATATGAAGTTACTGAGGTGTACAATCGGTCTGAAGAGCTGAAGGTGAGATGACATTTCCAGCCAGGCTGGTCAGAGAACTCCATTCGCTGAGCTTAGAGCCACGGCTCGCTGGGCTAGGAAGACTTTATTCTGCGCTTCCTGAGGGCAAAGGGGGATGGAAGTGAGACACACTTTCTCTTCACCCATATCCTTCTTCCCATATTCTCAGGGAGCCCTTCCAGGGAACCAGCCTGGCTCACCGTCTCGATCTGGCGTTTGAGCTCAGAAATGAGGCGTCCGTAAGAGTTAGCCAGGGCTACTGTATACGCCATCAGGATGCTTAGGAAAACAGGATGAAAGTCACTCCAGGAAAACATAGATAGATAGATAGATAGATAGATAGATAGATAGATAGATAGATAGATAGATAGATAGATATAGATATAGATACACACACACACACACACACACACACACATACATATAATCTTCATCATATGGCTCCTTAGAAACCTGGATCAGGACCCTCAAAACCCTCTTGAGACTCCATTCTCTTCTGCCTCAGACCTAGGAGTCCATACCTCTGCCCTCCTCCTTCAGATCAGGAGTCTAAGCTGCAGACCTCCTTTGACCCAGGGTTCCAAAGCCAGACTTCTTTTCTTAGGCCCAGGAATCCAGACCCCAACCCTGCTGCTCCAGATCTAGGTAGGCCCCGGTTCTCTTCCATTCCACATAGGTATCCAGGCTGCAGCCCTCCTCTCTAATACTTAGGTGCTCAGTCCCCAATTCCTTTTTTTTCCCCTAACACTAAATCACACATATCCAAACTCTGAACCTAAAGTCTGGAACCACTCACCAAGAGAGGATCAGAAGGGGTACAGCAAAAGCCTGGGTCCCCAGAAAGTAGAGAAAGTTCTGGGCAGTCTGAGGGAGGCTTTCAATCGACTTGGGGATCTGGACCCAAATGGACGACTTCCCTTGGAATGGGCCGCACAGTTTAGAAGGTGGGATCCTGCAGGTAGAGACACACTGAGCTCAATCAAATAGGGCCAGAGTGAGGACCCTGTGATGAACGCAATGGAAAAGGCGCCTCTCAGACTTACAAGAAGATACTGTAAAGCACCGGGACAGCAGAGATTGCCAGACCCACAAGGAGCACCATGGGGAAAAAGAAATTTACTGTAGAGGCTCGGAAGGTGCGTGAGGCCGGTGAGCAGATGGAGAAGAGCGCCATCTGCGGAAAGAGGTGAAAAATGGCGATCTGAGACCCAAGGGTCAATATTGTGGTTTCCTCTTTTCCCACCTTGGAGTTCTGGCCTCCTTTGAGGCAGGACCCAGATGTCTGAGCCACCTCAGACGTCTCAGATTCCTTTCTCTGGGCTCAGGACTCTGACTTCCAGCACACTCCTCCCTCCCTTGGGGCTCAGTCATCAAAGGCCCTGACATCCTCCTTTCCCTAACCCAGGAGTATAGCCCCAACACCTGTCAGCTCAGACCCCAGGATCGTCCTCAGCCTCACCTTCTTCAGACAGAAGAGTATCAGGAACTTGGCGGTGTTGATCAAAGGTAGTAAAGGGCAGAAAAAGCTTCCCACCCAGACCACGGTCTGAGCGTAGATGAGCCCCAACACCTCGTCAGGCACTTGGAACTCCAGAGTCCCCATCATACGACCCAACGCCCCAGGACAGAGGCCGCAGAATATCCTGAAGGGCAAGGTAAGGCAGTCATAGGCCTGGATGTTTTTGGGTCTTCACAACCTTATCATCCAGCCCATTATTTTGTAAAAGTTTGTTTTGTTTTGTTTTTTGTTGTTGGTGGTGGTGGGTTTTTTGTTTGTTTGTTTTTTGATACAGGGTTTCACTGTAGTTTTGGGGCCCGTCCTGGAACTAACTCTTGTAGACCAGGCTGGCCTCAAACTCACAGAGATCCGCCTGTCTCTGCCTTCTGAGTGTTGGAATTAAATGTAAAGGACTTTTAAGATCTGTGATCTATGTTCCAGAACCTGGTTTCAAAGTTACCTGACCTAAGTTACCTAAGTTACCACTCCTAAGAGTAGGAGTGGGGTCAGAGAGAAATACCTGAAAAAAGAACGGGTGGAGATTTAGGTAAAGAAAAGGAAGTGAAGACTGTATTTGGAAAGTGGAAAGGATGCTGGATGTGGTGACTTAGACTTGTAATCAAAGCCCTAGGGAGACTGGATCGCCACCAGTTCCAGGACAGCCTAAGCTACAAACAGACAGAGTCTGGGAAAAATAAAAAAGAGGATGATAAAGACAGTTCAGTGGTTAAGGACCTATACTGAGCAGATGTGGTGGCACATGCCTTTATTCCAAGCACATTCAAGGCAGAGGCAGGTAGATCTCTGGTGTGGAACGTCCTTATGTATATGTGTTGTTTTTATTAGTTAATGAATAAAGAAGCTGCTTTCAGCCAACGGCCTAACAGAATATAGCCAGGCTGGAAGATATATATGGGTTAGAAGAGATGGCTCAGCAGTTAAAAGCATTTGCTGGACAATTATGAGAACCAGAGTTAAGACCCCAGAACTCACTTAATAAGCCAGACATTCTGGCATGCTTGTAACCCCAGCACTGAGAGGGTCAGAGGTAGGAAAATTGCTGGGGCTTGCTGGCTTCTTGCCTAGCTAAGAAAATGTGAATCCCAGGCTCAGAGAGAGAGAGAGAGACAGAGAGAGACAGAGAGAGAGAGAGAGAGAGAGAGAGAGAGACCATGTCTCAAAGGAATGGGCAGAGAATGATAGAGGAAGACTCATCTGACTATCCCCCCTACACACAAGCACACAGTATATGCTCACACAAACACATATGCACACCAATAAATAAATAAGATAAAATAATAATAAAGAGGGCTAGAATATCTAACTCAGTGACAAACTACCTTGCTTGTGTAAAGACCCCAGTTAAAAGAAAATTGGTAAGACAAAAAGCGAGAACTCTTCGACAGGGGTGGGGCCTGCTCCAATAGGGGCAGAGCTACAAGCAGGGGCAGGATACTTACTTCCTAGGAAACTGGACCAACAGCATGACCAACAGGCCCATCAGCAGATCAAAGATCACAAGTTTGTACATCTCCTGGCCCAGCCGAGTCTCCCAGCACTGAAGAAGTAAGAAATCAATAGACCAGACCTTCCAACATGGAGGTTCAAGCATCTGATACTCCAAATTGCTAGCAAGCATCAGAAACCCACTCATAAAGTACATGGGTAAGGGCTTCTGTGTTTATAAGCAGTCATGCAATATTCTCTTTCTTCCCAAACCAAGGAAGGATGCACTGGGTTCCAACGATCCCTGTCCTACCTGTAAGCACAAGAATCCCCCCACAGCGTTCTCACCGGAAGTTCTCTGTAATTGTAGCCACAGGTCTTGCATCCTTCTGCCTCCATGTTTCCCCCACATGTGATCTGATTCCACAGAGAAACCAGGAGGAACACCAGGGAGGCCAGACGCAAAAACACAGTCCTGTAAGATGAAGATGGAGGAAGGGACTCACACTGCTGCAGTGCAGACCATGCTGTCCCCTCCTTCTTGATGCTCTCCCATGTTCCTCTCCCTGCTGCCTTCCTAGAGGAAGGAACTGCATTTCAGTGTCAGAATGAGTCTTTGAAGACCCTGGATCTCACATGCATGGGACTTCCCTGTCATATACTTTTCATTTGTGTATTTCTGTACATTTGTGTGTACACGACAAGTATGCTAGTGCCTGCAGAGGCCAGAAGGAGTCTGATCCCCTGGACCTGGATATTCAGGCAGTTGCGAGCTCCTTAATATGGCTGCCAGTGAACCAACTTCCAGTCCTGTCCAAGAGCAGTAAGTGCTTTTAACTACTGAGCCATCTCTAGAGTTCCTTTGTCTTAAAACACACACACACACACACACACACACACACACACACACACACACACACCATAGTGATTGTGTGGAAACCAGAGGATAACTTTGTGCATTCGGCTCTCTCCTTCTGCCTTTGTATTCTTTCTGGGGATGAGCTCAGGTCGCCAGACTTGCACAGCAAGGGCCTTTATCCTCTGAGCCATCTCACTGGCCCAGACTTCTCTGTCTTATTTGTGGAACCAGAGACCCTCTCTCTGTCTGTCCCTTTCTTCCTTCTCCCAGAGCTCCCATCCCATCCCATGAGTCCAGAACCGAAGTAGGATCAAGACGATTTGGCGGCTGCGAGTGTAGCCCTCTAGTGAGGTAATGAACTTGAACACAATAGGCAGCACAAAGTTGAACACGGAGATGGAAATGGATGGAAGATAATCCACCAGAAGCTTGAGGAGGGGATTTTCTTGAACCAGTGTTGTCTCCTGAGAGGGAGTGTGGAACAAAGAAAGAAGCAAGCTGAAAGTCCATCCTTACCCTCTTTTTACCTCAAAGGACCCTAAAATCCCAGACCTCTATTTCCCAAGCCATCTAAGATCCCAGAAATTCTAGACCTCAGTTCTCTCACACAGGGCTTCACCCTTGGAAATGTGAGTTCTAGGACCCGAGAACCCTCCTCCTCCAAGACCCTCTGCACCTGCAGCGTCACGGTGTACTCTGTGGCCCAGTAGACGCCATAGAAGGCCGCCCCCAGGAGCGCGAGGATCAGCAAGTTGAGCAGAGCCCGCACCGACCACACCTTGATTCGCTGGCCCAGCGTCTGTTCCGCAGCATGGCGCCTAATCACAGCTTCCTCCAGCTCCACCTGAGGCCAAGTAGAACGACTGCTGCCAGGGATAGTTCCCTCCAGGCCTAGATCTTCAGATGGAACTGAACAGCCCTCTCCTTGCTCCATACCCTCCAGTGATGTCCATGAGACCACTTAGCTCTTGGGCTCTCTGCAGCCTGGACTTGCATCCAAGGTCCACCCTTCATAGCCTAACCTAAGATCCCAAAACCTCGCCCCTTTAACGCTCTGCCTTCTGTTCAAAGCCCATCCTTACCCCGTCCAACCTAGAATCCCAGGATCCACTCCCCTGAGACTCCAAGCCACTTTGTTTTTTAAGCCACGCCCCTATTTCATTTTGGACCAGTATTGGACTCCACGCCTTCCCTAAACGAGTCCATTCCCTCAGCACCCCCAGTCCCCTCCATGTCACGCATTCCTAGTGTGGCTTCCCCTTAGTTTTGTCTCTCCCTGCTTCTTAGCAAAGCACTGTTCCTTATCGCAACCCGGTCTTGTCCAATTCACAACCAGTTGCAGCCCCGCCTCCCCGAGCGCACCTGCAGTTCGTACAAAATGACGCGCTGGCGTAGTCGCACGTGTACTTCCCCGTGGAGGCCAAAATTCCAAGCTGAGAACACCCGGTGACTATAGCTGGTCAGAACATCTGTCTCGGCCAACAGAGTCTCCTTCAACCCAGACACCGAACTGAGAGAAGAGACCAGGAGAATAGGGATAATAAGAGTGGGAAACAGAAACTCTAAAGCGACAGAAAGACCTAGGAGAGACTCCAGTGGAAAGAGGGATAATAAGAATAAGACAGAGAACAAGACTTGAGAATAAGACAGAGAAGAGAGAACAACAACAAAAAGACATTCTAGAGAGGAGGCAAGCTGGCCTGGTGGCAAGCGCTTCTAATCCCAGCACAAAGGAAGCTGAGTCAGGAGGATTTCTGCAAATTCAAGGGTCAGCCTGAGGCCAGGCGGGGGTGGCGCAGGCCTTTAATCCCAGCACTCAGGAGGCAGAGGCAGGCAGATCTCTGTTCGAGGCCAGCCTGGTCTACAAGCGCTAGTTCCAGGACAGGCACCAAAGACTACAGAGAAACCCTGTCTCAAATATATATATATATGTCAGACTGGCTACATAGTGAGTTCCAGACCAGACCAGCCAGAGGTAGGTATGCAGGGTAACAAGGTAACTGTCTCAACCTGCCCATTAAGACAAGTGCTGGGGGGAGGAGGAAATACCAGAGAGACTAAATATGAAAAGGAGATGAGGCTGGAGAGATGGCTCAGAGGTTAAGAGCACTGAACTGTTCTTGCAGAGGTCATGAGTTCATATTCCCAGCAACAACATGGTGGCTCACAGCCATCTGTAATGAGATGCCCATCCTTACCCCTTCCTATCAGAGTCAGGACGTGGGTGTCACTAACCGGTGCAGGATGCACAGCAAGTAGATGAGCCCGATGACAAAGACGGAGCACAGGTAAGTGATGGCCAGGTTTGATCGGGGCGGGTAGAACCCATAGAACAGAGGAGACCATTCTAGGTAACCCTGGAAAGGGAGAGGGAGAGCAAGGATCACTATGGGTCTAGGTGGAGGCAGGAGTCAGGAAGCTGGGTGATCTGGACCACAGGCCATTGAGGAAACCAGGGACCATGGCACCTACCGCTCCAGAGAGCAAGTTGAAGAGCTGAGTGGGGAAGGTGACCAGGCCCTGAGCTTGAGGGGTATAGGAACCACAGAGTGAGGAGATGTTAGGGCTAGGGGGACCTGGAGGAGTCCCTTCCAACCAGGTGGGGATCAGCTTCATGCAGACTTCAATTACAGATGCCACCAGGTTGAGAAAGAGCAGGAAGCGCAGCAGGGAGAAGTAGGACTCAGTGCCTGCTCCAAACTGGCCTGCAGGGGGCAGCAGAGAGGCCTCAAGTCCCTCACCAGTACAGTTCAAACTGAGACCCGGCCCCAGCCCTGTCTCTCAGACCCAGCTCTCCTCCCTCAGACTCAGTAGTCTGGAACAGAGCCCTGCCTCCCCTTCAGACCCTGGAGTCCAGGCACCAGCTCCCTCCCTCAGACTCAGGGGTGCAGGCCATAGCCCTCTTCCCTAAGGCCTAGAGGTAGTCAGTCAGTCTGAACCCAGACTCCAGCCTTCCTTTCCTCAGACCCCAGGCTCCAACCCTCTTTCTTTAAAGCTGACCACACCCTCAATCTTCTACCACACCCCCAATCTTCTTCAGCGTCCATGCCCAGGGCTGTATAGTTTGAAAGCCTTCTTTCATCTTTCCCTTGGTCTTGGAAAGCTGTCGGGTCCAATGGGCAGCTTTAGATTCAGAGCCAGAGGTCACCTGCTCTCTTGCCTGCCTCTTCCTGGAAGGAAAGAAGAGTCAGAGTCAGAAGATGAAGACTTGGAAACTACAAACTGGGACCGCCCAAAGACAGAAACAACTTGACCCAGGAAGGGTGGAGATGTGGTATTACTGTATCCATAGTGGAATACTCTTTAGCAATTAAAGAGGAAACAAATCTACTTTATGTATAGGAAGCCAGGCACAAAATAACAACAGAGCCATGTATGGTGGCACACACGTGTAATCCCACCAGTGGTCAGGCGGAGGCAGGGGGATTCGGAGTCCAAGGACTAGCTGGTCAGATTAGTGACATGCTTTTGAAAGAAAATAAAGAAGTCAGGTGTGGTGCACCATTCACGCTTGTAGCCCCCTCAGTTGAGAGAAAGACTAGTGCAAATTCGAGGAGAGCTTGGGATAAAAAAGTGATTTCAGGTCAGTCTGGGTTAGAGAGTGAGACCCTGTCTCAAAAAAACAAAATAAAATGGCTGGTGTGATGGCTCAGAAAGTAAGGGCAATTGTGACCAATTCAAAACTTGTGTCTGATCCCTGAGACTCACATGGTAGAGCAAAAGAATTGGCCGCTGCCTGCTGTCCTTTGAGCTCCACAGAAAGCCATAGCATACACACGCATGCTATCCGGCACACACACCAAAATGTAAAAGAGAACAGCCAGGCAGTGGTGGCACATGCCTTTAAGCCCCCCAGCACATGGGAGGCAGAAGCAGGCCATCTCTGTGAGTTCAAGGCCAGCCTGGTAAAGAGAGTGAGTTCTAGAACAGCCAGGGCTGTTACACAGAGAAACCCTGTTTAAAAAATTCAAAGGGAGAAGAGAAGAGAAGAGAAGAGAAGAGAAGAGAGAGAGAGAGAGAACAAAACAAACTAACAAGAAGGAAAGAAGGAAGATTGGGAGAAGGAAGGAACAAAATAAAAAATTAAGTCTTCCTGTTTCTCAGCCTACAGTGGTTTCATATGTCTTTAATCCCAGCACTCAGGAGCCAGAGGCAGGTGGATCTCTGTGAGGCCAGCCTGGTCTATAGAGTGAGTTCCAGGACAGCCAAGGCTACACAGAGAAACCCTGCCCTGAAAAACAACAACAACAAAAGTCTTCCTGATTCTCTAACACAAAGTTCAGGCAAACCTTACCCTGGCTAGTGGCAAGGCAATAAAGAAAATAATTTATTGCCGGGTGGTGGTGGTGCATTCCATTAATCCCAGCACTCAGGAGGCAGAGGCAAGCGAATTTCTGTGGGTTTGAGGCCAGCCTGGTCTACAGAGTGAGTTCCAGGACATCTGGGGCTATTACATAGAGAAAACGGTCTCGAAAAACAAAACAAAACAAGGAAAGGAAAGAAAGAAAGAAAATTAACTATTGAAATCAGAAAGAGTTTCTCGACAGAAAGAGGTGCCAGCGTGTCAGAGAAGAGGGGTTCACCTGTGTTCCCGCCTTGCCTGCATAGGCCAGGGAAGTTCCCGGGAAGGGTGAGATTCCATTTGGGCAGTTTCTGAAAAGGCCTGAGGACTCCTTCCTCCATCCTCATCCTCATCCAGTGTCCCCCAGGGGAGCACACCAGGGCCGCGGTACCGAAGAGTAGCAGCACTTGGGAGGTTATTCAGCACAGAGGCCAGTGATGGGCCTGGCCATGGAAACAGAAGGATCGGAAGACAGTGAAGACTGGGCTACAATCCTTTCCCCTCAGACCCAGCATCCAGGCCGCAGCCAAGGACCCTTGGACTCAGGAGTCCAGGCCCCAGTCCTCCTCCCTCAGACCCAGGAGCCCAGGCCCCAGCCCTCCTCCTTCGGAGTCAGGAGTCCAGGCCCCAGACCTCCTCCCTCAGACCCAGGAGATCTTCTCCCTCAGATTGAGGAATCCAGGCCCAAGTATCCTCCCTCACATACATGGGTCCAGGCCTTAGCCTGCAGAGGAGCCCAGGTCTCAGGTCCACTTCCCCCAGGAGTCTAGACTCAAGCTTCTCCTCCCCCAGGGCTATAGATTCCATCATTTCTCCCTCATCAGGGATTCAAGGCCCTAGTTCTTATCTCTCTGACCCAGAGATTCAGGTCCTGGCCTTCCTCATATTGTTTCAAAAACCCCAGGCTCATAATCCATACTTTTAGACACTCTTCCTAAGGTTTTCAGGTATGAACCCCCAGATCCCTCCTACCCTAAGTGTGAGTCTGATCTTTAACTTCCTGTTCTCTTACTGGAACTTGGAACCCTGGGCCTTCCCGTACCTGATACTAGTGACCCAACCCCTCTCCTCCAACACTGTAACTAGGTCTGTGCACGGTTCTTCAGGGGTTCTGAGTTTCTGTCTCAGAAAACCCAGGAAATGGAATCCCCCTGTGCTCTCAGGTTCAGGAACCCACTTCTTTCCTTGATGTTCTGACCTGACTTCCCAGGACTCTCTCCTACCTGTTCTTGCCTTCGCGGAGCTAGACCAATCCCTGAACTGGCCCCAGGCTTCCCTGGGAAGTTCTTCCATGTTTGTGGACGTACTTTTTGCACCTGTTGTTTCCGTGTCTCCAGGTCCCTAGGGTGGGGACCGCCCTAGGTAAGGGAGGGGCATGAGACAGGGATGTACCTGGCCACTAGGTGGCCTGAGGTAACTATGCTACACTTCCTATAAAGCCAGATCTCAGCTTTAAAAGGTCTCCTGGGAATTGAAGTCCTTACTGGCTGAGCCTGCAGAACTTCATGACAGCGGTCAGTCTGCCACACTGAGAAGCTGGGCTAAGTGTACCTTGGTGGTTTGCCGCCCACAGACACACTCACAAGCAGATGCATGTGTAACATTTTATTGGGAAAGATTTATTTATACATTCTGACCTGTCACAGGCCAAGGATGACACTGGGTAGCAGGTTGTGTGGGGGCCTAGAAATGGCTCAGACAGAAGCTACTGTAAGAGCGTGTTCCCCTGGGGCTGCTTACTTGCACTTCGGTTTCTCCTCCAGGATGTGTAAGGTCATGGTCTCTGAAATACTGGTTTGATGATAAAAGCCAAGAAAACAGGAAGGATGTTCCTCCCCTTTTACAGAACTTGGTCCTGAAACTCCTGCCCCAATACTGGGGACCCACAGGGACTTTGTCCAAGATGCCACATGACCACTGGTCTGTGCCCTTCCATTTTTGGGAGTGTGACATTTTGAATACCTGAAGACTGCTGCAGAGACAGGGACAAGAGTGGACAGTAATACCCTGATGTCAGCAGAGGGAGGTTTGGAAAAGTCAGGATGCGGCGAGCACCCGGGAGAAAGATACCTCTAGCTTTGTTTAAGTCAGAGGCAGGGGATTAGTTAGGAAGGAGGAATCCTCTCCAGGCTCCTAGCCAAACAAGGGATTCTTGCTGGGTAAAGGAGAATATAGCCCGGTTCACAGAATTCCCAAGCAAAGATTGAGCTGGCTGGCAGGCCAGAGCAACACAGCTCACTCTTCCCGGAGCTTTTCCCTGGCTTGGCCGGTGGTGGCCTGGGATGCTGTCTTCCTCTTGCTGGGGCTGCCCCCACCCAAAGCTAGACCCAGCCCCAGGCAGGCCAGGGCTAGAAAGTGGATCCAGTAGTAGATGGAGGCCCAGTACCGGAGTGTGTCACCCATGGTGAGGAGCACAAAGCCCATGCACATATAGTCGTAGGCACGCATCTTCAGGAACCAGTGCACCCAGTCCCAGGCTTGCTGGCCCCTGGGGCTCAGATGTCTCCGCAAGGCTGACTCCAAATAGCCCTCAGCGGCCAAGCACAGCGGGATGGTCATGAAGCTTAGGTAGTAGCCAGGGTGGAGGCCATGCCAGTAAGCGCTCAGCAGCATGGTCCAGGCACTCCTGGAGAAAGAGATTGAATCAGGATACAGAAGTTCAGGCTTCAGTACCCACTGTCTCGTGTCCTCTTCCCTCAAACTACGGACTTAGACCTTGGTCCTTCTTCTTCAGACTGAGTTCAGGCCTACTCACACTTCCTGTATCCTGAAAGTCAAGGTGCCTTTGTGGTTTTTGTCACTGGGAATTGAACCCAGGGCCTTGCAGATACCAGACAATAATGTACTACTGAGCTGCACCACCGGCATTCTGAGACAGCATTTCTCTGTGTATCCCTGGCTGCCCTGGAACTCACTCTGTGGACCAGGCTGGCCTTGAA